TGCACCCATCGCAGACAATGGGAAAAGCAAGCAAGAAGCCATAAGGAAAGCAAGTTGTTAATGGCGCTGCTGCAGCACTCATGGCCTGGGGTGCACGCGCTGCTTCCCTGACTGCAGCTCTGTGCTTTCTCATCTGCAAAGCGGCCCTGCCAGCTTCAATATTTCTCTTGCTTCTATTTATATGCCTTTCTTCGTTGCTTGAAAATTACCTCCTGCCCTGCCTTGGTAGCGCTGGAGCGCTTCACAAGTGGCTGCTAAGTGCACCTCTTGGCACAAGGGCTGCACACTGGGTTCCTTTCCTGCTGCCCCCAGCTTTTGCCCCTGCTGTGAGCGAGCTCTGAATGAGCAGCACAGGGAGAGGCAGGGATGTGCCTGCATTTCTGCAGCAGCTCCAGGCCCCTCTGTTTTCTCCCTGTGTCACCATCACACCGAGACACCCTGCTGCTGCTGCTCTGCACTGCTCCAGTGCCCAGCCCCAGCCTGAAGAATCTCACAGGCACCACTGCAGCAAAGAAGTGCGTGCACCTGCACAACCCCTCATGCTGCATCCCCAGAGCAACACTGTGAGCAGCAGGTTGTCTCGATGGCTGTCATGGTGCAATACCCCTGCTCTGGAACAGGTTGCCCAAGGAGGCTGTGGATGCCCCATCCCTGCAGGCATTCAAGGCCAGGCTGGATGTGGCTCTGGGCAGCCTGGGCTGCTGGTTGGTGACCTGCACACAGCAGGGGGTTGGAACTGGATGAGCATTGTGGGCCTTTGCAACCCAGGCCATTCTGTGATTCTATGATTTAATGATTCTGTGATTCTCTCCGCCTGCAGCTTTGTTGGCTGAAGTGGTTTCTGCCCCCAGCTGCTCCCTCCAGCTCTCTGCCATGTGAGGCACAGGGAATGAGGTGAACACAGTGATCCAGCAACCCTTTCATGCAAAAGAGAGAGAACAGCTCCAGGAGGAGGGTGTCTGATTGCACCATGAGTAACACCAAATGTAAGAGCAGCTGGGGAGATGCCACCCCCCCAAAAAAAACCCAAAACAATGAGAAGTTCAAGCCTCAGGTGGCCAAGATGAAGAACCTCTTACAGAACATCCACAACTTGAATAGCAGCACCAGAGAGCTGTGGGTGCCCCATCCCTGGAGGTGCCCAAGGCCAAGGATAGGTCCCTGGGCAGCCTGAGCTGGTGGGGGGCACACAGCCCTCAGCAGGGGTTAGGGCTGGAGGGGCTTTAAGGTCCCTTCTAGCCCAACCATTCAGTGGCTCTATGAAACGAAGCACCATGTCTAAGGACATGACTATAGGAAGGCAGCTGAGCTGCTCTGTTGTCATTCACATTAAAGACAATCTATACATGCAGCAGGCCCATCTATATTTGAAAGGGTTGAATTCAGCAGAACAAATGTTGTTCAGCTTGGGGGGAAATGAAGAATATCCATTTTTGGCTTCAAGTTGGCACCTCCTGTGTCCAGCTGGTCACCCAAAGCCACACTTAGCTGCGCCGCTTCCTGGAACCCCAGCAGCTCTATCCATTAAGAAAAAAAGTGAACTGGAAACAAACAAATAGAAAAAAAGAAAACGACAAAAAAAAGACAACCCAGAAATACCTAAAGCCACCAGGCAGTGGAAAGTCTTCTGCCCTAAAAGCAGCAGGCACTGAGTGCAGTAGGAGCAGCGATGCAGGGCGGCACCCTGTGCCCGAGGAGCGACGCCCTCCTGCCAGCGTGGGATTTGTTCTTTGCTGGCATCCTCGGTGTGGCAGCAGGAGGGGCTGCCTCCTGCCTTTGGTGCAATAAGCCGTCGCGTCAGGGGCTCAGGGAATGTGCCAGGACTCTGTAAGGAAAGAAAATTAAATGAAGAGGAGCAGGAGACAGAAAGGAGCTTGATTTAAAAAAAAAAATACAGCCGTCACAATCAGCTCTGTTTAATGAGAATAGGAAGCAAGCGGTTTGAAAAAGAAAGCAACAAAAAACAAAGCCAGACCTGAGGTAAGCAGCAGCACAAAGTCCTTGGGCTCCTTGAGTCCTTTCCCAGGCGGAGGAAGTGGTTTGCCATCGATTTATTGACACTGCTGCCTATCTCTCCTGCCCTGTCTCAGGGGTGTGCGTTTGCTCCAGGTGAGTTCTGGCAAGTGCTGTAGCACCCACTGATGTTTCCTGGGTGCCAAAGTCAGATCCCAGCCCCTTCTGCAGCCCTGTGAGGGCTCAGTGCCTCCCACAGCCCTTCCAGATCTCCTCCTGGCTGAGGAAATTCAAGCTCCCACATCCTCCTGCAGGAGCACCTGTGGGAGATTCTTCCTCCTCCCCTCACACTGGGACCTTCAACCCCCCATCACTGCGTGTAGTGAAGCAGTTGGAGAATTTCTTTCCCATGGGTTTATTTTCTTGAAGTAAATCCTGATGCTGTCTGGGTTGGCAGCTTCTCTAGGTTGGCTGGGACGAGGGGAGGTTGTAAAGAGGAGGTGGTAAGGGCACGAAACCAGGTCCTGATCCCAGCATGGGGTGTGTGTGTCACCTGTTAAACAGGGCTGGAATCCATATCACAACTCAGCTTACACGAAGCATCCACAAAGCTAGTAGGAAAACTGCTGTCTCACTGATTGAAAAGATGCAAGAGGGAAAACATTGACAAGTTGTGTGTATTAAACCCATGTCTTATTGCTACCACACCAGTCCATGCTCAAATGGAGGCTCTCACCTCCCTCTGGCCTGGCCTGCCGGTCAGTTGGGCTGCTCGGAGGTGTGAATAATGCCACAGACTACACATTGTTTCCATTTAAAACCAATTTAATCTAAATTCTCTGATCCTGCAGCTCTGTGAGAATAAAGGAGAGCTTAAAGGGAGAAAACCACTGCTTCCGACTTCAAAAAGCCTCAGCAAAATCAATTAAGAGTGTATGAAGAATCCTGAAAGAACAACAGGGACTGACAGATCGAACTATGCAGGCTCATTACCTTTTCACATCCAACTCTTGATGATGTTCCAGCACAACATCAGCCAGGGCACGTGGGTGTCTTTACGTTTTGGCTGCAAGTACCTGTATCATGCTTTGCAAATAGAATGCAAATACACTGGTTGTGTTCTGTGTGCTACAGAAGCAGACTCCTTTGAGAAGGCAGCAGCTATTTAGTGGAACAAAGGAGAAACATATGCAAAGTTGGGGAGGAGAGAGGAGTAACACCATAGTTCATCTAAGAATGTGAACTGAGTGCCAAAGGCACGACTGCCTGCTGAGGCTGCCACAAACACTGGCTTTCTGAGTAGGAAATTGTCTTTACCCTCCAGTGGATGAAGCAGCAAGGGTGGGCTTTGTTCCTGAGGTAGGTTAGCCATGCCCATAGCTAGCTGCCTCTGCAAAACTGTCCTTCCAGGTTGGGTCTGTGTACCACGCACCTGGGTCACTGCACACACACTTGAATGCTTCACTCTTACCTCTCCATCCTAAAGAAATCCAGTTGCTCACCTCAGCCCTCTGCTCAGGCAGCATTTCTGGCCTAGGAATCAGGATCACGCAGGGATGGGCACTTTGTGAAACAGATCCCAACAGCACGTGCTGCAGAATTGGCTCCGGCTCGTCGCTCCCTCCTGCCCCGACTGCACGCATGGGTTGGTAGATCTGCTCTCCTTATCTCATCTGCAGCCCCTGCTGAGATGAGGCACTCAATCCAACCCACTCCCATGCCCTCTTCAGATGATGCATCTCTCAAGCTGCCCCTCCTGCATGTTGGTTGCCTTAGATAACTGCTTGGTGACAGGCATCCGGAGCGCCTTCATTATTCTCTGTGATAAACAGACCTGGGCATTTATTTCCCCAGAATCTTCCCAGAAACTGTAATAGCAGCAGCTACTATGCTGTATTTAACAAGCACAGAAAAAAGACCTTCTGCTTCTGCTGGCTGCTGAGATGAGCGGGAATTTGTGATTAATGGAGGGTGCTGCTGATGAATAATTTGGATGCGGCACTTAATTTGAGAGAGAAACAGAATAGCATCAAACCAACTTCATCCTGACTGGGACAGCAGCAAGTATTTAATTCTTGCCTTGACAAATTCAGCCCCTAGACACCTTCTGTCTCTGTGAGTGGTGATTTTCATCCTATTGAAAGTTAACTAGTCTAAAGCATCCTTAACCCAAAGCAATCATTTGAAGCGCCTGCCTGTGATGGACAAAAGGCATTCAGAGGCTGTTCTAAACCAACTGCTCTGATGCACACCAGGCTGGTCACAGGAGAGAAAAATGAGGAACAACTCACCCATTTCTCCCAGTCACAGCAGAACGAAGCTTCACCCTCACTGCCTGTTCTCCTGAAACAAAGCTGAATCATAGGTCCACATTCCTCTCTGTTCTTTTTTTCCTTCAAGAGAGATTGGCTGCAGATGATAAATGGTGCATCCTTAGTCACCAGCATCTGTGCTCTGACCTAGGGAAGAAACAACAGCACCAAAGCACGCGAGCAGGGTGCTGAGCACCCGCTGCAGCCCCCTTACCCTGGGCAGCACTGCTCTCCTGAATGCTCTTAGAGTTGATCCAGCAGCTATTGCCACCACTGAAGCAGCGATGGCTTTCACACAGCTGCAGCTGCTTGGCCACAAGAGGAGGGATACACAAAAATATTTGGGGTTTGATGTTTTCCTGGGCCCCCCCGAAGGGCTTTGAGCAGGAAGACAAGCTGCTCAGAGCTAGCAGCATTGCAGGAACGCCCTGAATGCGAGGGATCCACACAGTCCCATTTTATTCTGTTCCCTCCTGTTACAGACACTGCACTTACCCTTCAGCTCACTACTGAACAGCAAGCTTGTTTCCAAAGAGCTACACCCAGCAGCTCTAAGTTCTCCCCCACTTTCCCCAAGCAGTCATTTAAATTAGAGGTTGTCATTGCAGATGTTCATTTAGCAATTCACTAGGTGTGAGACCCACTAAGTTATCATTGCATGTGACACTTTCTTTTTTAAGAAGAGGCACTAAGTATTACTGTGCACTAATGCATTAGGAAGAAAACCACAATGAAAACAAGCACAAAACACACAGCATTTTATTAATTTATAAGGTACAGGGACTCAAGTGGTGTACATGTTGCTAAAAAAACATCAGCAGCCGTGAGGATGATATCCTAGCATGGCAAAACAAGGAGGAAAAGGAGTAAACAACCATTCTCACACCCCACATTTCCTCCATGTGGAGAAAGGGCACACAAACCTACCCACATTGCAGACAAAGGGCCTGGAATCAAGTTATCCTGCAGGGCCAGGAGCACTCGCCTGCTCTGACAGCAGGGAGCAGAGAAGAGGCAATGGCTGCAGCAGTTATGGGACGGGCAAGAGAAAGATGAAGAATTCATACTTCAGCAGCTCTGCAGAGCAGGACAAGGGAAGGCTGCACCTCGGAAAAACCCACGTACAGTTGTGACCTCACAGAGAGCAAATATGAGTTGCAGATGAAGGCAGCAGCTAGAATTAAGGCAGCCTGAGCTGTGTGGGTGCAGAGCAAGGCTCTCCAAGCAGCTCCAAAGCAGCTGTCTTGTAGCAGTGCTGGGACAGCAGCTCTCTCCTGAAGAGGGTCAACCAGCTCTCGGACAAGAGATGCAGACTGCTACCAACAGGCCACTGCCAACCTCCAGCACATGCCTCAAGAGCCAAACAAGCTTCAGAGCACCCGGTCTTTCCTTGCTGCACACCCAGCAGCACCTCTGCATTCGGGATTCTCTAAATCCAAAAGTCAAGCAGAGTTTAATGATTTAACTTAATTCCCGTGTTCTCACAACAGCTGTACTCAGGGAACACCACAGAGCCACCCATCAGTGATCTGTCACAGGGGTAGAGGTCAACAGCTGCTTGTCTGAGCAGGACAACTAAAGGCTGTATTTTGCAGCCTGGGGGAGCAAGCGAGAAAACATTCCAAGTCAGTCCTCACAGAAGGGCAGCACAGCCTCTGGATAAAGACACTGCAGGAGGAAAGATCCTCTCCATGAATTAGGCTTCTGACACTGCTTACAAGCAGCCTTCTCTACTGCACTCACAATCTTCCAGCAGGGAGAAGCACACAGCTAGCCAAGGTCTGCTACATTGCAAAGAGGCTCCCCAAGTCACCTCTCTTTGGGCAGTTTGGTCCTTTCCTAGGAGGGGAAGCTGTCCCTGAAGGACACTATTTCAGCTTTGGACAACAGAGGAGTGCAGAAGGAAGCATTCAGGGGCTCCCAGTTTCTCAAGGAAAGAAAAGATCAGCAGTGGTTTACAGACTCATAAAAATACTTTTCAAACAGGGTACAAATTAGAGTCCCCATTTACCTGCCAACATTCCAGTTCAGTCCTTTTCATTTCTCTTGTAAGAACAGCTGGCACAAGCAGCTAACACAGCAGGAAGCATGATTCCTTAAACTACTTTAAGTGTTAGTGACGCATACGTTCTAATCAAGAGTTGGCATCTTTAACATTCTTTGTATTTATTTTAAGAAAGCATTTTAGTTAATCTAAGCAAGAATATTCAAAAGTGAGGAAAATACATTTTTGTTTCTGTTCAAACTTCTCAGAGCAGACACCGAGCGCTGTGCCAGCTCATCCCACAGCCATCACTCAGTTACGTGGCCCAGCAGCATGAGGAATCACACACAAAGCTCCAATTAAACCTCGCAAAGACAACTCCTGCCTTCTGTGCCAAGGACAAGCAACGTCGCATTGCCAGCACGAAGCCAGGGCTGAGAGCCAGTCAACATGCAGCAGGGCAGAGGTGACAGCCTTGAGACCATTTGGGCCCATTTCTTTGGGGTCCTCCAACAGGGCAGGCACAGAGTGGCAGCAGGAGGATGGATGAGGGTTCTCTGAAAGGAAACCACTTCAGAAACCCCTGTGCCACGTGTAGCCAAACAGGTCAGATCATCCCAGCCAGGGTTTCACCTATGCCACTTGCTGCATTAAAGAACACATAGAATCATAGAATCATGTTAAAAAAGGAAAGCTTGCATAGAAATAAAAATTTTGTAGTTCTCTTAAAATTACTGTACAAATAAATAAAGTTACTGTCCATTTAAATAAAACCGTCTGAGGGAAACTGGAAGGCAGCAAGGTTTCTGTATCCATCTCCCACCATCATTCCAAATCAGCTGTTCACCATCTGTGAGGCCTCCAGAGCACGGTGGGACACAACACCTAGGAATGAAACGTGACAAAGTTGCCAAAACCCCCCTTGGCAGAAAAAGCAGCCCAGCCCAAAGGTCCCCATGCCCCTGTGCTGCCTCAGTAGCGATAGCACGCGTTCAGGAGCAGCACAGAGCAGGTGCACAACCCCAGCTCTCAGCATTATTGAACATAAAGACTCCTCAGATGATAGGTTATACCCACCTCCTTGTCTTTCAATTCACAGAACAAAACTCATTTAGAGTTTTAAGTTATTCACATCACTCTGCTCTATACCTTCCCATGGCCCTATGGAAAAGTCAGGCCTAATCTGACCCACGCTTTATCACGCGAGAGTTTATTCTGAAGCACCTGGATTTTGCAGCATGAAAACCCTCACTGCAGCTCCTGTGCCAATCCTGATTTCAGGTGAGGGAAGGAGGATATGAAACATGAAATAGACCTGTTTTCTGGACGGATGCACCCACGAGCTGGTGCCTAAGAACATTTAGGACAGCAAATTGGTTTTAACCTCCAGTCCATACTAACACAGCAACCAACAGCATCTCAATGGCTTGAGAATGGTGTTGTGTGGCACAACACTATGCCCCTGCTGCATTAACTCAGGATCCATGCCCAAAGCTATGGTAAGTACCCAGGTAATTTCCTGCCTAGTCAGAAAATTCCATCAGCAGAGGGGTGGCCAGAAGGGACAGGGAGGTGATTGTCCCCCTCTACTCTGCCCTCATGAAGCCCCATCTGCAGTGTTGTGTCCAAGTCTGGAGCCCCCAGTACAAGAAAGACAGGGGGCTGATGGAGAGGGTCCAGAGGAGCCACAAAGATGATCAGGGGGCTGGAGCACCTTCCCTGCAAAGACAGGCTGAGGGAGTTGGGCTTGTTCAGCCTGGAGAAAAGAAGGCTGCGGGGTGACCTCATGGCAGCCTTTCAGTACTTTAAGGGAGCCTACAGACAGGAGGGGAATCAACTCTGAAAGGGTTGATAACAGCAGGACAAGGAGAAATGTTGTGTTTCAAGTTGAAGGAGGGAAGATGTAGGTTGTATGTCAGGGGAAGTTCTTTACCATGAGAGTGGTGAGGTGCTGGAACAGCTGCCCAGAGAGGCTGTGGATGCCCCGTCCATCCCTGGAGGTGTTCAAGGCCAGGTTGGATGGGGCCCTGGGCAGCCTGGGCTGCTATGAAATGTGGAGGTTGGTGGCTCTGCGTGTGGCAGGGGGTTGGAGCTTCGTGATCCTTGAAGTCCCTTCCAACCCTGGCCATTCTGTGATTCTATGAAAATAAACTAAGAGCTCTGAGCAAACTGATATGGCTTTTCAGTTGCACCTCCTGGCTGTGCAGCCCATTTTCTTCTGAACCATGACCACAAGCCTACCTATGAAACTGGAAAGATCAGAGGAGAATGAGCAGCAGGAAACCAGACACTGAGCTGCTAGAACTACTTTGATTTGTTCTTGCTATTCCTCTTTAGCAGCCTAACCACTTCAGGGCTGCCCTGCCAACTAGTGGCTCCACTGCTGTGGCAATGCCAAGCCTCCTGGTGCGGGTGGGACTCCTCAGAATTGCAGATTAATTAAGTGAATTTCAGCAACAAAACCTATTTCCTTAGGTACCAAGTAGTGCTGGTCTTGTCCTCAGAGATTTCAGTGAAGCGTTTGCTGTAGCACCACGAGGCAGCATTAGATAAACAGGAGAGGACTGCAATTAGTAAAGAGGAAAACGTAAGGCAGTTAACCAGGCCCAAGGGAAAACTGAAATGGATAATTCAGAAATGAAGAGGCTAGAGCAGAGCTTTATCAAGATTGGCACTGGCAACAGACTTGTTAATGAAGTGTTTTCACTAACGTCCTCGGCACAATAGGAAGTGAGCCAGTGACACAAAGCTGGAGGTGTTCTGACTGTAAGAAAGGACAGAAATATTTGGGGTCATTCACTGTTTCTTCTAACTGAGAGGGGCTGAAAGTGGGTAATTGAAAATATAAGTCATGCAGCCACAAACAAAAATCAGTGCTGTAACCCAAACCGTTATTGATTTGAAACAAGTCAAGTCAGAAAGGGCTTCAGGATACAAAGTAATTATAAGATGAATACAGATATGAAAGAAGTGATTCTGGAACACATCAGGAGGAAGACTTCCAAATTAGATAGTAAAAGCTGATGTGCTTCACAAGGACCTGAGAGATTCATCTGCAGGTAGTGAAGAAGATAACTGCATGTAGCAGGGAGGGAAGAGCCAGCCTTGGTGGAACCAACAAACCTTGGATGGGAAGTCTGCCTGCCAAAGAAAATGCTGCTGAGGTTAACCACTGTTCCCTATAAAGTTGTTCAGAATGGGTAAACACCTGGGAAGGAAAAAACACTTTGTGCCAGAGGACAAGTCTGGCATGTGGTCAAGAGCATGAAAGTGATCAGAAACATATTTCACTGGCACAGGTTGCCCAAGGAGGCTGTGGATGCCCCATCCCTGCAGGCATTCAAGGCCAGGCTGGATGTGGCTCTGGGCAGCCTGGGCTGCTGGTTGGTGACCTGCACACAGCAGGGGGTTGGAACTGGATGAGCACTGTGGGCCTTTGCAACCCATTCTGTGATTCTACAATCTCAGTATTGCAGAGGGCCATATCAATTGCAAAACATCTTCAATCTGACAGTTGCTATTATACCTGAACATATTTAAGGTGCACAGCTACAAATACGCTGCAAAACTCCCTTTGCTCACTTTGGGTTTTATTTAGTTACCAAATGTACTGCAAAATGTACCAGCACAGGTAAATGCTGGACTGATAACAAATCATTTATGGAAACTGTTGGGATTTAGGGTATAAGACAGGCTGGCTCAGACACAGCTCATTGCAGCCAATTCCATGAACACACACCACTAAAGAGGCAAAAGTTTCTTTGTTAGAAGTAATTCATAGGCCATATGAAGAGAGGCTGAAGGAGCTGGGAATGTTCAGCCTGGAGAAGAGGAGGCTCAGGGGAGACCTCACTGCTCTCTATAACTTCCTGAAGGGAGGTTGTAGTGAGCTGGGGGTCGACCTCTTCTCTCGTGTCATCAGTGATAGGAGCAGGGGGAATGGCTTCAAGCTGCGGCAGGGGAGATTCAGGCTGGACATGAGGAAGTATTACTTTTCAGAAAGGGTGGTCAGGCACTGGAATGGATGCCCAGGGAGGTGGTGGAGTCACCGAGCCTGGGGGTGTTCAAGGAAAGGCTGGATGTTGTGTTGAGGGACATGGTTTAGTGGGAGCTATTGGGAATAGGTGAACGGTTGGACTGGATGAGCTTTTTGTCTTTTCCAACCTTGGGGATTCTATGATTCTATGATTCTAATTCAACCAAAAGTTTTTTGTTTTTTTTTCTCCTAGTTGGACCACATCTGTCTAGTGCCAAATATTCCCAGCTGCTACAGGTCATGTTTGATTTAGAAGGGCTTTGACCAGAAGGTCAACAAGTCCCCTGTCTGCTCACACCAGACAGAGAGGAGCTTGGCAGAGACACTAACCTGAGTGCCCTTTGTCTCTATGAGAGGGAGCGCTGGCACTTCTTGCCGTAGGAGATTTGCCTGATTCGGACTTCCAGCTGGAAGGAGTCCAATCTTTTCTTTGGGTTAAAAGCCAACATATCGTGCAGGAGCTTGCAGAGATCATCTGGCATGGACTTCTTGTTCTTCAGAGGAATCTGTAGCTTCAGGTTGGGATTCTCCAGCAACGCTTCCCCAAGAGGAATAAGCTCCTTGCCTTGGCAGATGTAAGTTCCTGAATACAGGTAAGGAGGAGTCAGCTTACACAAGAAAAGCCTACACAAAGCACTGCCTTGTACAGCACAGACAGCCTGGGAAACAAAACATCTGAAAGATTACCAAAAAGATCACTTATTAGTGACTGCCAAGGCAAACACAGCGAGAGGCTGTTACTGGAACAAGCTTTAACTGTCCAAAAGTAATCAAGATGTTACTGCGTGCTGCATGCACAACCACGGGTGGAAACAAACCTCAGCATGGCGTGCTTGCCAAGCATTTACCAAAGTGAACCTCCTCTATTTTCTGCTTTCCCCCCCCATAGCAGACCTGGAAGGTGTAGGAGAGGGAAGGAAGCAGGCTGTGCTTGGCTCGGGTGACTTGAAAGAGTTAAACATGAAACTTATTTGCTCAGTAAGTCAAATAATTTTCAATTAAAATGACAGCACATGCCATTTACCGTTAGCCAACTTCTCCTCAGCAAGATTAAGGAAGGGAAATGTAAATTTACTCCCGGTAATCTAAATAATTTCACCGGTTGTTGAAAATGATTAACCGGCTTCCAAAACAGACAGCAAAAACAGCTTTGCTCACTCAAGCTGTTCTGCCCCTGCACCAAGCAAAGAATAAATGTTTCAAAGGCAGTGACCTGTCTGTGTATAGAAAAGGTTGGCCACACAGACTCCTTATCTCAGGTTGGCGGGTTGCTATTTTAATGAAATCTGTTCGTGCTTCGGTCTCAGCTGCAACCATTTGCTTGTTTTTGTAGGCAGGAACTGAAACATTTATCAGTGTTTGGCATTTCGAAAAGAAATAAATAGTACAATTAGAATAGAGCCCATTAAAACAAAGAAAAACGTACAGGAGCAGAGCAAAAATCTTCTCAAAGTTTCTGCACAGAAATTCCTTTCACGTTGAGAATGTAAGCATTGAAAAGACAGAGAGGTATTCTGTGATCTCAGGGACTGGGTCGATGTCTTGAATTATTATGCTAATGTGCCTGACTGGCATCCTCTCCTCTCAGGATGGATTTTCCACTGCAATATACTTCTCTGAAATCATTTGGTACAAAGCATTTCAAGCGTGCACATGTGTGGGGGATTTGGAAGGAGGTGGATGGAGGAGGGCCATCGGACGGGTCATCCCTGTGAGATTTTGCATCTCTAAGCACAAGAAACTCAGGCTGAGAGCAGCAAAGCTCATCTAAACATCCGTTCTGAGTTTACAGCTTGAAGCACTGGAAGGCTGTTCCAAGGAGCCAAGTGATCCTGTCGCCTTGAGGAAAGGGAGACCGCTCTGCACTTGAGGGAAATGAAACCTCCCAGAGGATCCCTACAGAACATCTACAAACACGACAGCAATGATCCTTACCAAGCAACTCCTTCTCAGTATCTCCATCTCGGAAGGTGATCCTCTCCACCATAGCCCAGAAGATGATCCCGAGGGCAAACACATCAGCCTTGGCTGTGTAGTGACCCTCCCACACTTCTGGAGCCATGTAGAAGTTTGACCCGCACGCAGAGGAGAAGCGATGCTGGTTCACGTTCCCTTTCCCCCGACACACCTTGCTGAGGCCAAAATCTGCCACCTGCAACACAAGATGAGAAGAAATTGCAGCTACTAGTAAACACCAACTTCACAAAAGCACTTACAGACAGCAGCTCAATAAATTCCACTCCGAAATCCACCGCGTCACTAACAGCCATCAGATGGCAACCTTAGGGCTACAGAGAGCTGGGACTCCCTGTGAGGTGCCCTCTGCCCACTCCTTCCCTGTTGTTTGCTCTTCTCCCTAGGATGAAGAGGCCCGATGTCTGCTTGTTATCTTTCTGAGAAGCTCATTCTGATGAAATCTAATTGGGCATAAACATATCTCCAACCTGCAGCTATGGGAAAAGTAGCTCTTACTGTTCCCATGTGAGCACACCGAGTCTCTTCCTTTATTGTTATTATCCAGTGATTAAGATGACATTGATTTAAACATCCCCTGATGGCTCTACAGGTCGAGGTATAAATACTACTATTGATCTAAGTGGTTGAGACATAAATTATCTGCAATGCACTGAGCTATTATTTTATGTCCAGCTTCATGAGCTCTTGGGACTGAAAGCTGAGCAGCAAGCTGGCTCCCACGTTTACAGCTGCTTTTTAGAGAAATGTAACAGTTTCAGTTTGGTGCTACCAGAACTGCAGCTGGCTATCTTTACCTCAGTCAGGGCACCAACACACACGAACTCCCCACCTCCCTGAACATCAACGTGTGCTCGAGGCAGCAATATTGGAAGCATTAGCTGTTGTAACAGGACGGTATGTTCTTAAAGTTTAAGGGAAGAGAAAATATTGCTTCATCTTTGGCTGATGGTGATCTCTCTGATCATCTAGCATGCAGAAGCGAGACAACCCTGAACTGCAACCCTCAGCAGCACAAGTAGCACAAGAAGTGTGTTACAGACACATGCCATCGTGATCTAGATGTCCTTCCAAGTCTCCTGAAAGCCAGCCCACATGTGATGTCAGATGTTCTGAATACATCTGTTACAAGCTACTAAGTAGAGCCTGTAATAACATTCACCAAAGACCATTCCCCAGCGTGCAATGCGTAAGCATGCAGATCACAAACTTGTTACGGCCAAGTTTTATTCCCTTACCTTTACTATGGGATTCCCACGTTTATGAGAGATCAAAATATTGTCCGCTTTCAGGTCTCTGTGCACAATCTGGTTCCTGTGCAGGAAAGCCACAGCGCTGCTGAGCTGCTGCATGAAGCTGTTATTCAGCTGGGCATCCGGGCTGCGGGACAGCAGGTACTCATTCATGTTGCCACCATCACAGAACTCCATCACAAACCACAGAAAGCAGGCCGATTTGGGGTCCATGCACCTGCGCCCTTTCAGACAGGTCTCGATCAGCAGCAAGTGGCTGTCTGACTTCCTGTAATGGTGACTAATGGGCTGAAAGACTCGGCCGTTCTGCAGGATGCACTCCTCCAACTGGATCACGTTCTCATGCTGCCTCTGGATGCTTTGCAGGGCCCAGAACTCTTGCAAAGCCAGCTCTGCGTTTTCAGGCACGTTACACTGCATCCTTTTCACAGCTACTTTGCTTCTGGTTTTGTTAACAATTGCCTCATAAACCACCCCATAGTTCCCTCGGCCCACTTCCCGAATAATGCTGTACTTGGCTTCTGCAGCCATCTCTCACTTTGGCCCAGTGAACAAGCAAATCAGAGGGAAACGTCTGAAGTCATGACAATCAGTTGCCACCTGCAGCAAAATCCTAGAAAAGAAGAGGATAAAAAGCTTAGAACTCCCAAACCTAGCAGCTCACCAACTATCATGAGCAAATACTTCCAACTGGAGTCAATTTTAGAGGTATGTACATCATTATACGCTGCAGCTGCACAAGGTCTGACAGCCAGAGCAGGGTTTTAAGGGAAGCCAATATCCATGGTAACTACGAGGCATTATCAAGTACAATCCTGACTGCACAGTAGGACACAACAACATGGGAAGTGACATTGATCCACCCACAGTGGAGCAAGTTTTGTCAGAAAGAAAAAGGGCGATGTGGACACGTTCAGTAAGCAGGGCAGGAAAGGGAGGAGGAGACCTCCTTGGTAACAGCTGAAGTGAAACTTGAACAGAATTGATTTTAAATAAATAAAAAAAGCAAGCCCAAACTCTCCTGTTTGATAGATCTTTCAACCTTACTTCTCCCCATGTAGCCATACTGATCCATCAATGGATGCAGTGCCCCCCTGCACATTTACTACCAGTCCAGACCCAGATGCCAGCCTCAAGTCCTTCATTTCCAACTCCTTAACTCTTCCCACATCCCAGAGTTCCCTCCCCACCAGCTCAGCTCCCCCACACACCTAAAGACCGGTCTTATCTTGGTGATCACCCACTCACCCACCACTAGCTGACCCCTTCACCCTCCTGCTCTGTGCTCACCCAAACCTCCCCTTCCAACCTCCTCAGCCACTGTCCCACATCCTCCCATCCCCAAGGCCTCATCGCTAGCAAATCCTGCTCTGTGTAAAAGCACCCTTCACTCCTTTGCTCCAGCTCTCACTCTTCCAGCCCCATCCATGACTATTGTGCTGTGTTTTCCCTTCACTTCAAGCACCCTGTCTTACCTCAACTCCTCTCTCCAGGTCCGCATACCCCATGTTACTCTTTATTTGGGCCTCTGGGATTCTCTTGGCCCCTTCTCCAAGCTTTCCTCCAGCCCTACCCCCTCATAACCCCACTCCCTTTCCCACCTATCTCATCTCTGTCTCCCACCTCAACACCACCTCAAGTTCTGCTCCTTCTCTCTCGACCAAATCTTCCTCTGCTTTCCACCCACACCCCAAACATCCCTCTCCCAATCCCTACAACCCTCCCCCTTTACACCTACTATCCCAAACCTGCCTAGACCCCAACAAAACCCCTCTCCCCTCTCAGCCCCCACTTCTCCCCCTTCCCCCTTCCCCCCTCCAGACCCCTTTCTCAAACCTCACCCAACCCTCTCCCATCCCATTCCTGCGCCCTCAGCAGTGCCACCACAATACAAACCTTTGTAATGCCTTTCCCCGAGCCCATCCTTACCACAGCGCCCCGAGGGCAGCAGCTCTGCTCCTTCTCCAGCCCAGGCCCTCCTCAGCCCCCACAGCCCAGGCCCTCCTCAGTCCCGAATGCCCCCGCCGCCCCTACCTTCCTCCCGGCCCTCTCCATCCCCTCAGACCCCCGGCCCTGTTTCGGGCCCCTTTTCCCCCCCTCAGACCGCCATGCCATCCCATCCCGCCCCCACGCCTCTCCTCACCGCACCGCCGCCGTCGCAATTCCCGCCGCCGCTTCGCCGCCCCGCCTATTAGCCACTTCTGGCCAATCAGAAGGGAGGAGAGGCTACTTGACCAATCACAAGACAGAAAAGGGATGTCCTGCCTCTCTCCCGGACCAATCGGAGAGCAGCTCGCCTACGCGCAGCCCAGGCAGGGATGTTCTGCGCCTGTGTAATGATGGGGCTTTGCGGAAGAAAACTACTAATCCCAGAGGCCTCTGCGGCGCTACGAGTGCCCGTTAGAGGCAAACCTCCACAAAACTCGCGGCTCGCCCCCTGCGGGGTGAGGCAGTCTTAAAAGGAGGCCCCCAGCCCCCCCAGTGCCTCCGAGGGACCCAGAGTCCCCCCTCCAAAACCTCTCTTTGGGGAATTTCTGGGGAGAACCGGCCCTCCTGGCTCTGCAGCATGGTCTTGGTGCAGCCCCCAAGAGACACTAGCCTCAGACAGAGGGGGAGAGGGCTGCATCCAAATTTTGGACGATTTAATTGCCTGCATCCCCCAGCAGCCCCAGTCTGAGCCATGCAGGGAAGGCTTGTGCTGATTCCCAGCCCATCTGCAGTGCCTTCAGGTGGTGACAATGTAAGGTGGTGTATGTGATGCTGTAACTGTATCAACGGACAAGGGAAGAGCCACTGATGTCATCTACCTGGACTTCAGTAAGGATTCTGACACTGCCCCCACATCCTCCTCCTCTCCAGATTGGAAAGATGTGGATTTGATGGATACAGTGGATGAGGAACTTGTGAGATCGTCCCCAAAGAGCAATGGTCAGTGTCCCCATGGCCAGATGGAGACCAATGACCAGATGTGCCCCTCAGGGACCAGTGCTGTTGGTGCCCCTGTTCACTGCAGGGGAGTTGGGCCAGATGGCCTTTAAAGATCCCTCCCAACTCAAACCATTCTCTGACTCTCTATTTTAATGGAGCGAGCTAAATAAATAAAGATAACTGAAGTCAAATCCCATCAGAGGGATTGTTAAGCACTGAACCCACCAGGGCAGTTTGGACTCTATTAAAACACTCTGCACATCCCTCTGGTGACTCAGAGGTTTTATGTGCAACGACGACAGTGATGTAGCAGTTTTTCTTTTAGAAAGCACAACGTGCCAGCATTGGGGTTTGGGGTTTCGTAGCCCTTGGGATAGCACTGGGTGGGATGGGGAGAGCAGCGTTGCGTGGGATGAGCAATTCTGTGGATGCTGAGCAGAGAAATTCCTTATGGCTATTTATTGATTGGGGAATGCACTGTCTGTGCCTCAACAGTGTGATCCTGACCCCAAATCCTGACACTGCCCCAAGGACAAGTCATGGTCGTCAGCACTGCAGGATCGGTTCTTCATTTATGACTGCAAAAATACCATGGGGATTTTCAGGCTGATGATTTGTTTCATGGGAAGGAGCTCGATGTTGGGGAACAAATGGGGAGATGGCTCTGACACCCCCTATCCCGGTCTTCTGGGTGCTGGCACCAGCAGTTGAGAATAAATAGGGCAATTTTGAGCTGTATTTGTGGGGTTTTTGGAACCTGAGCCTGAGTTTGAGCATAAACAGAGCAGCTCTGGGATGAATTTGAGCATTTTTTGGACTCTGAACCCATACATGCGTGTGTATATATATGGACCCATGCTCACCACAGCACCTCCTGAAGTCCTCCCCTACAAAATTGCTTCCCTGCCCTGAAACATTGGTAGAGATTTGCATAAATTCGAGCATAAAACTTCAGCATATGGTGCTTACGAGCCGGTTTCCTCTGCTCATCTCAGGCTCAGTCATGGTGACCCACTGTTGGTGTGGAGGGGACCTACAAGGGACGATGTGCCATGTGTTGAAGCACAATTAGTGTCAGATCTACGTTTTTTTTTTTTGCCCTGAAAATGGAATTGCTTTTGCATCCTCCATCCTCCCCTTGTCTCTTTGTTGTCTCAAACGCCAGAGCCAAAAACCAGCTGCAGCCCTCCCAATGGAGATGAATGGAAAGCAGCAACCCACGCCCATCCATCCATCCATCCCCAAACCCAAATCTCAGCACTGGCATCCCTGTGGGCAGGAGGTGATGGGCTGCAGCTAATAAGAAGCTGCTGCGCCCTTTGAGCAACAGCTAAATGAGTGTAATTGTGCTTTCCATAAAATGCAATTTGGAGTAAGATGACACAAATCCTTGTTGGTCCCACTGAGTGTGCACCGGTGGTGGCTGCGGGGTTTGGGGATGGTGGGATCGAGTATGGAATAACCAGGAGGAAGGGCTGTGATGATGGTGTGCAGAAGTTTTGGGGGAAAAGTAACCCTGAAGAGTAAATGGAATAATCTGTGAAGACGTCACTTGTCTTTGTTGCATGTATAGGTTTGATGTTTTGAGACCCTAAAACCAATACTAGAGGAGGGATGAAGGCTCCAGACCAACCCACAAAGCAGAGTGGACATCGATGGAGGGCTTCTGGTGGGGTGTCACAATCTCTTCAGCCTCCACACCATCCAAGAGCCACTCCATCCACCCATGGAGATGACCACATCCTGTATCTCCTGGGGCTGAAAGGCAAACCCTGATTTGTTTGCTTATGTATGTTATGTATGGTCAGATACGTTTGCATGTTTAAGAAATGTCCTCCTAGCCCATTTCAGGTCCCTGCTGCTCTCTCCCCTGCTTTGCTCAGGGAGTCATGGGGAGGTGGGATGAGATCTCCTGGGGAGCTCTGGTCCAAGCCTGCTAAAAACAGGACCAATCCCAATGCATCTAATTGGATGGTGATGTTCTTCTGTTTCTCCCATCCTCACCACAGCTCCTCAGAGTCCTTCCTGAGCTCACTCAACTCACTGAAGCAATGGAAACCCAATGGTTGGGTCTTCTCGTGGTTGGATGAGAGGACAAATGGTGCCTGTGGGAGTGCGAGGATCCTTCATCAGGTTCATCCTCACCATACCAGGTGTCAGACTCCCAAAAGGATGGAAACCGTGAGCCTGAATTCTGCCCTCATTCTACAAAAGCAGTGAATCCTCTCCAACCTAAACCTACTTTCTCTCATGGGATTTATATGCTAGACCTGGAATTGCCACAAAGTGGGCATCACACTTAGTGTGATGGCACCCCCTCCCAGCAATCATCTCCCCCTGCCCCCAAGTTAATTAGAAAGACCCTGAGCATCATCACCCGATGTCCTTCGCTATCAACTCAGCCCCATCCAAATCACCAGCTTAAAATACAGCCTTGGAGGTAATTCCCTCTCACCAGGCTACGGTGATTCCTCTGGGGGGGGATCCACTGTAAAATTGTCCCCAGAAAGGACAAGGTGCCTGTCCCCTTGCCATCCCCTTCCCTCCACCTTGGTTTGGTGAAAAAGCCCTTCATGAGAAACCACAACAACCTGGATGGCTAAGGGAAGTCTGAGCAATAGGGTTATTTTAAAAAATCAGCTCTCAACCACGAGTGCAGTGGGGACTGGCTCCCCCAAGGCAGCTCTGCCACTTTATAGCTGTTCCATAGGTTTCTGGCTTCTGATGCCTGCCCAGGCATGCACAGAGCAGAGGTCTCAGGCAGGACATTGAGCGCGCTGTTTCAGAGCCAAAGCGAAAACAAAAGGAGCCGTTTCGCTCTGCTATGCAGCCCTTCCCAGGGAGTTGTTAGGGGGAATTACCGAGATATGATCTCAGTGGTGCTGCGGATTTGATTATCGAATTGCCAGTGTGGGGTGGTGAAGGATGCTCAGGGCAGTGAAGGATGCTTGGGGTCACGCAGGATGCTCAGAATCGTATAGGATGCTCGAGGTGATGAAGGATTCTTGTGGTCGTGCAGGATGCTTGGGGCTATGATGGATTCTTAGGGCAGCGCAGTATGCTTGGGTGGTATGGGATGCTTGGGGCAGTGCAGGATGCTAGGCGTGGTACAGGATGATTGAAGCAGTGAAGGATGCTCAGGATGGCACAGGATGATTGGGGCAGTGAAGGATGCTCAGGGTGGTACAGGATGATTGGGGCAGTGAAGGATGCTCAGGGTGGTACAGGATGCTCGAGGTGATGAAGTATGCTCTGGGCAGTATAGGATGCTTGGGATGATGAAAGCTTCTTGGGGCCATGCAGGATACTCGGGGTGCTGCAAAATGCTCAGTGGCTTCCAGCAGGGTTATCCACGGGGGCAGCTGGATGGGAAAAAGGAGGTGATGCTGCTTGGGAAAGGCTGGATGTGGCTGGATGTCCCCTGAGGTGGGAGCACTGGGACACACCTTCTTTGGGATGGACCCAATGGAGCACATATCCACTCTATGTTGGGGTAAGGGGAGAGATCCCCTTCATTTCCAAATGAAAAGTTTTAATTTTACCCCTCTGTCCATTGAGCTGGGAATTGATTCTCCCCATCCTCCTGCCTGTGATCAGTGCCGGTTGTCCTCATTAAGCCACACTGGAGCAACAAATCTGACGAGCCCCTGTGCCCCCCCCCCCCCCCCCCCGAGCTGTTCTGGGGTAGGGGGAAGCCCATTTCCATCCTTGGGCTGCATCAGTGACAAAAAGGCAACATTTTAAATCCATTATTCCCTAAAAAGAAATTATGGGGTGAATGGTGGTGGGTGCCCCCCAGTGCTCAGTGAATGCTCCAGCTTAGCACCCCACAGAGCCTCCTTACCCCATAACCACCCCCCCAAATTCTGCTCCCTGGGATGCTTGAGGGGACTGCACTGGGTCTGACAGAAAGGCATCTGGGGGTGACACAGCCACCCCATATTCACCCACCGTCCCCAAAACACGATGCCGGAGGACACCCCACTAATGGGAACCAGTTCACGACACAGAGGGGCACGGAGGGGGGGGACACACATCCCCTGTCCCCAGCTGTCAGTGCAGCTTCAGCCCCCGGGGGTGGGCTCAGCCCACGTGCTGGGGGCCGGGCGGGAGGTGTGGGGATGGGTATGCACACCGTCTATATATACCACCAAGGCACCGGCGCCGGAGGAGGCACAGAGCAGAGGAGCCGGCAGCTGACAGCACACTGCAGGTAGGAGATGGGCTTCGGTTTGCAACGGATTGGGGGGAAAATTGGCTTTCTTTCTTCTTTTCTTTTCTTTCTTTCTTTCTTTTTTTTTTTTTTTTTTTTTTTGCTGGGTTTTTT